ATCGTAGATGGATCCTCTTCGCTTAACCTTGTCGACGAAGGTTGCCTCATGTAGCCTGAATTTTCCCCGAATTCTTCACCAGGTCTGTATTCCGCCATGGTAGTTTGACTCGCAGTAGCGGCGGCCGCGGCGGCGGCTGCTGCTGCCGCCGCTGCCTGCGACTTGGCGAATTTCGAAGATTCTACAACCATTGTTTTTACCTTAGGGGTAGGTGATGTCGAGGTTGGCGTGTCAAGTTCTTGTCCAAAGTACGTGTCTCCTGGTGATGCAGAGGAAGCTGATTTCATCGTTGTCGTATTTGGTTCTGGCGCGGACAAGGGTGAAGGTGAGGTTTTACGTGTTGTTGTTGTTGTTGTTGTTTTTGATTGTGTTGTTGATGGTGGTGATGGTGTTGATGTTGTTGTTACAGGTTTTAGGGTCTCCACTGGGGAAGATTTGGACGGTTTTTGAGGGGTACTTTTCTGGGGGTCTGACGTAATTCTTTCCGTTGCTACTTCTACGGACGTTTTGGCTTTAGATTCTGATTTATCCGCCGCCGCCGCCACCACTTTCGGTGGCTTTACTGTTGCTGCTGCTGCTGCTCCTACTTTTGTTGTTGTTACTGTTGTTGTTGCTGCTGTTGTTGTAGCGATTGGTGTTTTTATTGTTGTGGTTGTAGTCGGTGTTAATGACGAGGCCGTTTTGATGGCGGCCGTATTTGTTTTCGTCGACAAAAACCCAGGGGTCTTTGTCGTCGTCGTCGTCGTCGTTGTTATTGTTTTTGTAGACGATGTTGTTTTGCTCGCCGGCGTCAGGGTAGACGAAGTTGAAGGTGTCGACGATGACGTTGTCGATGACTGCAGAGACGATAACGGTGATGAGGGTACATTCGCCAACGGTGAAGGTGTTGTGACCGATGCTGTCGGTGTTAGAGACCGCCGGCCAGTGGTCACCTTCAACTGTGGCGGGTCCTGTGCACCAGGCGTGGACGGTGACGGGGGTCCGCCAAATTTTTTAATGCCGCTTAAAACGGAATCTGAAGTCTTGAATTTATTATTAGTCTGATCTCCGCCTCCGACACTATCCGTAGATTTGTTTTCTTCTTTTTTTTTCTCACTTGGTAACTTGCCGACAATCGTACTAACAGGCTCTTCAGTTTTTTTAGGTAAAATTTTCTCATCGTTTGTAGCAGTGTTTAGTTTTTTATCTGATAAAAGAGAAGAGGATGGCGCCGGCTCTGACGGAGTTTTAACACTCTGAGTAACAGAAGTAAGGCTTCTGTCTTCACTGGGTTTGGTAGTTGTCAGTGTTGCTCCTGTGTTTTTTGTTGCGGTGAGCGTTGATGATGGTGACTTAGTGGTGGTCACTTTGTCAGTAGCGGTTTTTGTTGTCGATGACGTCGTCGTGGTAGATACCCCGGGTGTTAATGGAGATTCTTTGGCTGCCGGTGATTTTGATGTCAGTTGTAATTTGCCGGGTGTTGGTCGGGCCGGCTCCGCGCTGGAAGTACTTTTCAGACCACCAAATTTCTCAGCTAGTTTTTTAGCCGATGCTGTTGAACTGGAAATTTTGATATTGGTTGGTGGCTTTTTAGTGTCCGTGCTGGTCTTAGATGTCGAAGATGACAGTGCCGCAGCCGCCGCGGCCACAGCTGACGATTTGGACGGAGCAGCGCGAGCCGCGTCCGTTTGGGTCCCTTGTTTGGACGACGTTGTCGATGTGGTAGTAGGTGGTGTGGTAGTCTTTGAGTCAGACGCTGTTTTTGTGGTCGTCGTGGTCGTCGTGGTCGCGGTCATTGTGGTACGTGTAGTTGTGGTGCTGCCGTTAGCCGAGGCGATTACCTCTCTACCTGGTACGTGTGCTTTTGTCGTTGAAATCTTTGTGTCGGCGCTAGACGTCGCTCTCTTCCCACCAAGGCTGGGGGCTGACGTCACGTTTCTTGTCGAAGCGCTTTCTTCTGCGAGGGCGGCCGTATCGGCAGCGGAGGCTGCAGTTGCAACGCAATCGGCGGAGGCTGCTTTCTTTTCACGGGAACCTGTGGGTCCGATGCGATCGCTTCTTCTACCTGTACCTGAATCCTTGCTGCCGCCGCCTCCTCCTCCGCCTCTTATTCCCCCTCCTCCTCCTCCACCTTCTCCTCCCGCGTCTCGGCCGCCCCCATGTTCGTTCTTCGTGTGAAAACAGTTTTTGCACATCGTCTTGCGCCATGCCTGAGGTTCGAACCTGTCGCAGACTGGGCATACGCTTGCTTCGCTGTCTTGGGACCCCTCATCCTTTAATGTACTATCGAAAGATTTAGATGTTCTACTCATTTTAACAACTCTTGGAGAAGGTCGCCGAGAGTCCAGCAACCAGTTATTATATCAATAATAGTGATGATAGCCGTATCGCGACTGATGATACTGACGGTTCTAGCAGTTGGAAGGTGATAGCAGTTTCTCGGAGGGACAGTGGCTCGAATTTGTCAAAATCCATTTATCACCGATATGAGGTGGACAAGGGATACCTGCTTCTGATGATAACTGTGTTATGTAGATATTCTTTTAAGATATCTTTTTATTAAACCAATTCTCTTTTAACTTTATATGGGTGCGAATAAAGTTAGATTGCTTAACGTTGAAATGGAAGTTTTTTTTCCCCCTTTCTATCTACGACATCCGACGGTGAAAGGGAGGGGCAGTGTTATTAGCATTTGGAAGAAGTTAGAGTTCTTCTCTCCTAGACGTGTTTACAAATGCGGGTATTTAAAACCGACAGCTTGCTTGTCGTTCACAAGCAACTAAATATTGAGATTTTTTAATTTCTTTTTCGTTTTTTAAGTTGAATAATAAATGAAAAAAAAAAAAATCCACAAAAGTATTTAATTGATGGTGTAAATTTAATAAAATCTTTATTTAAATTTATTTTCTTGGAAAAGGCATATTTTTTTTAAAAAAGAAAATAACTTTTTACACAAAAAATATATATCAATATATATATATATATGTATAAATATATACAAATATAGAAAACTGTTGTTTTTTACCCGTGAAAAGATTTATTTATTTAATTTTTTTTAAATGCTTTTAAATTCTAGGCAAATTTACTAAGTTGTTATTTTTTAATTTTATAATTCAATATACATATATGTATATACATATGTATGTTTGTATGTATGTATGTATGTATGTATGTCTATGTATATATATATATATATATATATATATATATATATATATATATATATATATATATATATATATATATATATATGTATTTTTGTTAGCCTAGAATTGATTTAAAGTTAAAGAGAAGAAAATTCTCGGAATAAACATGAACTTCGAAAAGTTTTACCCTGTTGTGTTTTCCCAACAGCGTACATATTTCTTTTTAAATCTTTTTCTTACCCGCACTTTTTCTTTCGTTGCTTTTTCCCCTCTTTTTGTAAATCCTTTGTGAATTTTTCCTTCTTTTTTTCCTTCCTTCTTCAATTTCTCTCTCCCAGACTACGTATTGATATCCGTCTCTTGTAGATATATATATATATATATAACTATAGATACATATATATATAAACGCTAGGAGAAAGTCTTAAGCTCGCCAGCCGATACAAACTTCTTCCTGGTGAAATTAAGGAGGTTCTTTTCATGCGTACAACGTCATCAGTTTTGTGTACGTTTGGTACTTTATACGGTAGCGCTGCCGGCGATGGCGCGGAAAACAAAAAAAGAAAGAGAAAAAAAAAAGATAAAAAAAATGCAGTAAACATCAAAAATGGAGATTGAAAGAGAAAAAAAAAAGATAAGTGGATAAAGATAAGTCGAGCAGAAGACAGGAAATGGAGAAATCTAAGAATTGTAGTAAAAAGTGGGAAAAATAAAGGAGAGGAAATGCGGAAGAGAATGGAAAGAGAAGGAGAATGTTAAAGAAGCCGGAGAGAAAAGAAAAAAAAAGAGAAAGGCAAAGAAAGAAAGAAGTGAAAAGCAAAGAAAGAAAGAAAGAAAGTGAGATTAGGGTACTAATGTTAGATACTCCCCCAACCCTGGCAAATAAAGATAGAAAAAAAGAATATAGGTTAGGAAAGAATTTTGAAAAGCGGTTTTCGAAGCGGAAACAGCAAAAAGTTTAAGTAAAAAACAATAACAACAAAAAGGAATAAAAAATACAGAAAAGAGAAATTGACGAGAAAAAGTAAGTAAAATGCAGAAAAAAACAAATCAAAGAAAGGATAGATAGGTAAACAAAGAGACAGACAGATAACCAGACAAACAGATAGATAGATAGATAGATAGATAGATAGATAGATAGATAGATAGATAGATAGATAGATAGGAACAGAATGAGATAGATAGATAGATAGATAGATAGATAGGAACAGAATGAGATAGATAGATAGATAGATAGATAGATAGGAACAGAATGAGATAGATAGATAGATAGATAGATAGATAGATAGATAGATAGGAACAGAATGAGATAGACAGATAGATAGATAGATAGATAGATAGATAGGAACAGAATGAGATAGATAGATAGATAGATAGGGAACAGAATGAGATAGAGATAGATAGATAGATAGATAGATAGGAACAGAATGAGATAGATAGATAGATAGATAGATAGATAGATAGATAGATAGATGGGAACAGAATGAGATAGATAGATAGATAGATAGATAGATGGGAACAGAATGAGATAGATAGATAGATAGATAGATAGATAGATAGATAGATAGATAGATAGATAGGGAACAGAATGAGATAGATAGATAGATAGATAGATAAATAGATAGATAGATAGATAAGGAACAGAATGAGATAGATAGATAGATAGATAGATAGATAGATAGATAGATGGGAACAGATGGGATAGATAGATAGATAGATAGATAGATGGGAACAGAATGAGATAGATAGATAGATAGATAGGAACAGAATGAGATAGATAGATAGATAGATAGATAGATGGGAACAGAATGAGATAGATAGATAGATAGATAGATGGGAACAGAATGAGATGGATAGATAGATAGATAGATAGATAGATAGATAGATAGATAGGAACAGAAGATAGATAGATAGATAGAGATAGATAGGAACAGAATGAGATAGATAGATAGATAGATAGATAGATAGATAGATACGAACAGACTGTGATAGATAGATAGATAGATAGATAGATAGATAGGAACAGAATGAGATAGATAGATAGATAGATAGATAGATAGATAGATAGATAGGAACAGAATGAGATAGATAGATAGATAGATAGATAGATAGATAGATAGATAGATAGATAAAAACAAGTAGTTGTCCATATAACCCGCTATCCAGGAGGCACGGTGGAGTTATTGATAGCGGCTCGGATTGAGGAATCGGAGAGCCGAGTTTGAATTCTAGTCAAATCCATTACATTCACTTATGTGCTAATCCTCTTTGTCTCCCCTCAGCTATGGGTAAATAGCAGGACAGAGTTCTATAGCATTGGATAGCAACTGGTCTACCGCAGAAAGAAATGGCAACCTACTGCGGGAAAAAATCTGCCTCGTCAGTCATGTATCAAAAGATACATGGTCGCCTAAGCGTGTATCACGCATGGCACATAACTGACTGTCCATATAAGAGTATTGTTATTTACTGTGCCTATGAACACTAATGGGTATGTTCCAGTCCTCATAAATACGTTGAACACTATTGGAAGTGGGGGTAATATGATGTCTAAGTAGTCCACCACTAGCAGTGGTTTACCTACTTCACGTCGCTGGCGAGTATTGTAGTTTGTTGATGTCATAAAGATTATCATTTCATTTCCAACCTCCGTTTTGTTTATCCCACATTCAATAACCTTTTCTAGGTTACAACAAGTATATATATATATATATATATATATATATATATATATATATATATATATATATATATAATAAAAATGCTTAAACACTAATATTCCATGGTCATAATTTATTCTTTTGGAATCCTAAATACAATCCAATTCATCAGACCTACAAATCGTATTCCAATGGAATAAATTATGACCATGGAATATTAGTGTTTAAGCCTTTTTTATTATATCCTTACTCTGTCCTGGACATTGAGTTCTACCTGGATTCTATCCTCTTGGAATTTTTTTATTCAAAAAAATATATATGTATGTGTATATGCATGTATGTATATATATATTGCATATATTTTGCATATGTATGTGTATATTTTGCATATGTATGTGTATATTTACCACTAATAATATTATCTATCTATCTATCTATCTATCTATCTATCTATATATATATATCTATATATATATATATATATAAGTATACAGGGAGTGAAACAGAAAGTGTAGATAAATACATACTGCTTATACGGAGAAAGAAAGATTTATTAACACTTAAAATATTTATAGTAATAAAAACATGAACCATTACACACATAGTACCACATAGTACCTGACTTCTTAAGCTACAATTATAAGAGCCAGGTCAGGCTGAAAATGGAGTACTGTTGCCATATTTGGGCAGGAGCTGCCCAGATCTCAGTCATAATAGAGTTCAAAAGCGTCTACGAGTCCTTGTGAACCTCTCTCTCTCTCTCTCTCTCTCTCTCTCTCTCTCTCTCTCACACACACACACACACACAGGCGGGATGTCGCGAACCTCTCGCGGTTCTATCACTACTACCATAGGAAGTGCTAGGACGAACTTCATCTCCTGGTTCCATCAGGTCTGACCATCACGGCTAGGACCCGCCATGCCACTTACGTTGTAGCAAGCCACCAACATTCTATCGGCGAGAAGTAAGTTCCACTCGAACAGCCTCTTCCCGCAAAAACACTGCTCTGTGGAACAGACTCAGAAGAGGATGATTGCTCGATCGCTACTATCTTAACCTGTTCAAGTTGAGAGTCAACCGTTATCTTACCCTCCTATCTATATAAACTACCATTAACGTAACCCTCTATTTCGAGTGCCCTCCGGGCCTTATAGAGAGTGAATGTTGCTATAACACACACACACACACACACACACACACACACACACACACACACACACACACATATATATATATATATATATTATTAGTGTAAACGTTATTTTTCGTGGTACACGTGTTTCAGTTGCTATCTCTTATTTTATTTTATAAAACAGTGAAATTAATAACTGGCTTAGACTGAGAAGTCCGACAGGAATCGAACATCTATCCCTGCATCTTTAGTATGATTTCTCAGTCTAGGCCGGTTGTTATTAATTTAACTGTTTAATAAAATAATAATAATAAAAAGACAGGGGAAACAAATCAAACACGTGACCCACAAAAATAACGTTTATAAAAATAATGTCATTCAGGAAAAAAAATGAATGTTTAAACATGAAACTGACTATATATATATATATATATATATATATATATATATATATATATATATAAAACCTATATCGGACACACTACTACCTCCTTAGGTAGACATCTTACATGCCACCTTTTGAAGCAGAGTGCGATTAAACATTTATTAACTCATAATTTACAAGAAGCTTTAAGGAAAATTCTAGTCGACAACAAAGGTACTTTTCAAATCACATCGCCGTACACAACTCTTCATTAGGGAAGCATTACTTATTAAATACCATTCCTTCGCTATTAATATTACACTATTTAACACGGCATGTTCTGAAAATAGAACTGATGCCCAGGTCAACCAGCCGCCCATAGCACGTGACCGCCAAAAAAGCATACAACTCCCGCAGCACTTACTCCAAAAAGCAAAACTACTATGTAGAAACCACACACAGAAATTCACCATCCAAAAACATCCTTGATAATGGCTAGAGAAGCATCCGAAAGCGCTCGGAACAATTATAACTATGGAAAATTCCTAGATTCTTTAACCCCTGAAAAACAAAAAAATGTTAGAATGCTGAAAAAAACAAAAAAACAAAAAACAATAAAAGATTAATTAAATATTCCTTGTCGGGAGTTTTCAATGAAACATGCTTGAAAGAAAGTTTGCTACCTAAATACACATTGTTGAGGTCAATCCGAAATATCAAATATATATATATAAATAAATAAATACTTTCATAAAAAACATTATTATTTTTTTAATTTGCAACTTTTTCTATATATATATATGTGTGTGTGTAGCATAAAAATATACATAGACACACGTAAAATTGCACGTACATATAAATATATTTCTTCAGCACATAAATATATTTCTTCCTAAATAGAGTGCTCAATGTTATGAAACAGAGCTATAAGTACATATTAGTTAATATACAAGCTATTTGCACCTGAAGATTGCATCAACTGCATGAAACTCCGGGCCGTGCTACCGACCTTGGATATTATGTATATATATATATATATATATATATATATATATATATATATATATATCATTTTGTGTGTGAAGAGAGAAGAGAGAGAGAGAGAGAGAGAGAGGAGAGAGAGAGAGAGAAAGAAAGTGAGGCAGAGAGACAGATAGACAGAAAGAAACTGATATACGAGGGATGCTGAAAAGTTCACGGCCTGACCCACTTATGAGATAAATAACCAAACATTTGATTTTTGCTGAACAAAGGGTACATGGTTAAGCAGAGTATATTTCAACAATCTATCGGCTATATGCAGAAAGCAAAAAAGTGGTTGTGAAAGGGCAATACATGAGAGTGGGAAGGGGAGAGAGAGAGAAAGAGAGAGGCGGGGTAAGGAAACGTGGAAGAGGAAAGACGAAGGAAAGATGAAGGAAAAATAGAGAATAGAAGGAGACAGGATACCGACAAACTAACATAAAAAGTACACTAGAGAGGGAGAGAGGGAATGAAAGCGAGAGAGAGGGGGAGAGAGAGGGAGAGAGGGGATGAGAGAAAGAAAATGAGAGAAAAATAGAGAGGGAACCAGACGAAGAGGGTTATAGCGAGAAACTAACATAAAAATAACAGTGGAGGAAGAGAGAGAGAGAGAGAGAGGAGGGAGGGAGAGAGAGAGGAGGGAGGGAGAGAGAGAGGAATGAGGGAGAGAGAGAGGAGGGAGGGAGAGAGAGAAAATGAGAGAAAAATAGAAGAGAAAACTGGAAGGAGAGAGTGATAGTGAGAAACTAACAGAAAAAGAACAATAGAGTGAGAGAGAGGAGGCGGAAGAGAGAGAGACAGAGAGAGAGACAGAGAGAGACAGAGAGAGAGAGCATAAAAAGAACGATAGAGAAGGAGAGTCGGGTGGGGGGAGAGTGTGATAAGGAGCTGGGGAGAAAAAGGAAATGGACGCATAAAAAAAGTTAAATTACGAAACTCCTTGACATTCAAACATATAAGTTATTCTTTTGCTTTTTATGCACTTCATTTGCGTTTTCAAAACAACTGTTGTGTGTCTGTCTTTTATTTGCAGTGTCTTTTCACAACTTCTTATCCTATGTAGCTATAAATAATATTTGCCCCTTTCCGTCCCACAGAAACCCTGTTTTGCCATCCATTTGCCCAAGCCGGTTCGTTAGGTTACTCGCTGTTTGGCATTTCTCCTTATTGCCTTCAATATGCTCTTTTCTCATTATACCTCAAATAGAAATGTCTTTCGCTTTATCTATCTATCTACCTATCTATCTAGCCTAGCCTATTCATATCTATTTATATATTTATCTTAATCTGTCTATCTATTCATATCTATCTACCTTATTCTATTCATATCCATCTTAATCCAATCTATCCTAGTTTATTCATATCTATCTATATATTATCTTTATCTATTCATATCTACCTTAGGCTATTCATATCTATCTATCCTAGTCTATTCATATCCATCTTAATTAAATATATCCTAGTCTATTCATATCTATCTATCTATCTATCTATCTATCTATCTATCTATCTATCTATCTATCTATCTATTCTTTCGATTTGTTTTTCTCTATATATTCGTATTTTACTTTTTCTCTGCAATCTCTTAATTCCGTCTCTTTGTTATTCTATAACTACAAGGGTCTTTTTGTTTACATTTTCCTTAAAGGTTGCCTCGTTGTTCACATGTTCCTTGCATGGTATTCTCAGCATGCTCTCCAACAGAACCACATCGCTTTTGCCATCTGCGAGGAAATTCTCCAACATTCAATTCCAGACAGGAAAATTGATATTACATAGAAGTTCAGCCCATTTGAGTGGCCAGTCCATTTACGTAATGTTAATTACCGCGAAACTTTTTTTTTTTTTTTTTTTTTTAATATTTTGTATTTAGCATCTGAGTATTAATTCCTTTTTTATTAAAGAAATATATTCAGAAAGCTGTAAATCTAGTTGTTTGCTCGGGGCGGAACATTTTAATTGAAATACAT